TGCATAACCTCTGTGTAGTACTCTGGCTATGCAGTGTATGGAGAGTGTTGACTGACTGGTAGTGGGATCCACAGCATATGTGATCAACAGTGGGATCATTTGCCCCCACTAGCCTGCAGGAGCCACAGTGGCAGAGGATGGGTTTCCTCTCTTCCCCTTGTCCTGTGGGGTCCCTGTGGTCAGGTGGATTTCTTTGAGGTCCACCTCCTTTTCCAAGGTATAAGAAGGTAGAGAGAGGGTGGGGGCATGCCCAGATAACAGAGTAAGGATGCACACCTGCACTTGCAAACCTTCGGTGGAGGCGTAATGATGGGTTCCTCCATCCTGTGGCTTGGAGAGTTTACAATCCTGCTGGTGACTGGTAAAGTCAGGGTCCTGCCTGGGGTGAACAGGAGCCCTGGGAGGAGATGGCAGATGCCATATCCTATGGGGTTTGGCACTTGGACGTCTCTTACGATCCCTGACATATATCCTGCCAATGCAACTGATTCCCAAATTATTAGTGTTAGTGTCATGGTTATGGTTACGTGCTTATGATTGGTGTTCCTGGAGTGCACAGGACCACCAGTGGGCCTGGAAGAGCCCCGTCATGCCTCAGGCATGGAGCAGTGCTGGATGCGAGGCGTTAGCTGTCTGAGGAAAGATCAAGAGATAGCAGATGGACATATGCTATGGGGATTAGTACACTGGATTACAAGTTGTTGGTTAAACTCTCAGATTTCTGTTAATCATTCCTTCAAAAGGAAAATACAAAGTCATTCCCATCTTTCTAGGCACCATTTTAATTCACTTTTAAAGGCAGGCGATATTCAGGTGCATATTACCAAGCACATCTGAAAATCCTTGCTTTTACAACCTGTTGTCCATGTACTGCCATACTTTCCTTGAAGATACAATATTTTCAGAAGGCAACAACAACAAAAAAAGCCAAACAAACAACCCTTTACATTGTGGGAATACTTTGCACAAGGCATCAGTTCAGTTTGTAAATTGTTTTGCTCAGAATCTGTAGGCTGCATGAAAGGAACCATAGCAAGTTTGTCTTGAAATCTGAGTATGGTTTCAACTGGAGTATTGTGCCTTCTGTTGTGGAGTGCCAGTGTGCTTGTTCCCTTTGCCTTTCTTTGCTCCGGTACATAATGTATTTCTCGTGCCTGTGGATGGAGTCATGCTCTGCTGTGTTGTTTACCGCCTTTAAAGACCTTCTAACAACTTGCTAGGTAGTACTGATAGTAAGTGGTGCAAAATTTTGTACTCCTAACCCGAATAGGCAGGATAAGTGCCAGTGGAAAGAGCAGGTGAAAGTCACAGACATTGCAAAAAATGTGAAATCATGTTTTTCTTAATCTCTCTAGCAATTATTATTTCTGGGATGCTTGTTTATATGTTCAGTCACGTGAGTTTGTGTAGAGGATTAGTGGACTTCATGTGGAAAATATCCAGTGACGCTGGAAGAAACAGGTGCTGGTGGACTGCCTGTTTGGTTTAGCACTGATAAATAAATCTTTGTTCGAGGAACACGGGGAGAGAACAAGGGCTCCCTCCAAAACCCAGAACACAGACTGGGTAATTGGACTCTGCAGGTGGTCTGAGTGTCTGTTGCTTCCTGCTTTGTGGTGGATTTGTCAGGAAGAGGAGCAGTTACCTGACCTGGTCTTAATCCAGTATATACCTTAAGAGCAACTAAAGCTGTGAGATGAGTGAATTAAGTCTGGAGTATATAACCTCATCCCAACTAATTATCCAATTGTTTTGCTTGAACGTCTGTTGTTATCTGTGTGGGTAGGGAAGTTCAGCCTCTGAATGGAGACACAGAGTGCGTTTTTGAATGCAAGTGGTGTTGGCTTTTGAGAAATATCCCCGTCCCTGGCTCAGGCATTGCTATTATACATCCAGTCCAACTGTGCAATACTGTGCTCTAAATAAGAGGGGAGCAGGTGATGGTTATTTGTAGGACTTAAGAGCCAGCCTTCAGAAGGGGAAGGGTTTGTTGCTGCGGCACCTGTCAGCTTTTGCACACATCAAAGTGATGTGGATGTTTTGACAGATCCACACTCATTTAGTAGGTCAGCTACGACATTAATCTATGCTCTGGAACCTCCAATGTGTCCCTTTCCTCTGCAAACCTGTTGCTGATGCCCTACCTCTGACCTTCACACCCCCTTGTGCCATAGGATTGTCTGGTTAAGTGGGTTGGGAAGGAGAAGCCCAGTGGCCAGCTGTGCAACACGGT